AGGATTAAGCCTTGATTAAAGACAAACTTCCTACAAGTCAATCTGAAAAAGATGTAGGAGACGTATCAGCTGACAGGCGCGCTTAGCTATAGCAAGGCCAAAGCTTGAACCATCAATTGAATTATTTAACCAACTATTCTAAAATGAGAGAGTACAGTTAAATACAACACTGTTGTTGAGTTCAAAGTCTTTTAGATTCTAATGGTTTCACAAGGTAATCTTCTTGTAATGAGGCTTCTAAGAGTTTCAAATATTCAACATAAAAACGTCAGTGCAGTTTCTTTTACAAAGTAAGTAATTAAATATTTTATCCACCTATCTTTGGAGCCTATGTCTATATCCTCACTAGCAGAAGTGCTTAAAAGAAAGTAAAAATTAAAATGTAGCTACATTTACAGTACTTACTTGTTAGTTCCATGATAGTCAGTGCATTAATAAGTGCCACTGAATATAATATGCCACTTTTTTCAAGATACCTTCTCCTGATGTCCTTATACATTCTGATATTCACTCCCATTTCCTTGTCCAGAATAATTAAAATGAGTACTGTCTCACAAAACATAATTCTAGCTAAACAAAAAATGATTATGGCTGTTCAAGGTTTCAAGCTTTGGAAAGGCAGGCACAAGTGAGAAAATATCATGTTACTCAACATGTCAGCATTCCCCACTTATGAATACATTGTAAAGTGCACATGAATCCTGGCTGCTATATGTAGGGCATGTGAGTTTGCCAAGCCTGCCTAAAGATACCCACACTGCAGAGCCACACATGTAGTTATGTCTCCTAGCCCCAGGACGCTGCAGTTACTCAGATTTGCCTGTAAAATTATGTAAGAATAAGCTGAAGTTCTTAACACAATAGCTAATGCTCAGCTACTCCTAGAGTTGCAATGTAAACTGATTACATGTTGTCCTAGTCCCACTGAACCTAGAGAACCACATCCAGTCACAATCACATCTACTTGGAAACTGTTCCATGGTGCACTTCTCTGTCCTTCTGAAGCAGCTTCTCTCCTGATGGTCTTATTCCTCCAACACAACCAAAAGCAGACACATCTCCATGGCTTCCCTCCAAACCTAGTTCTGCCGCTGAGTAAATCAGCCCCACCCTCTCATTTCTTCTCAGGCACACTGAAGACCAGTGATTAAATGGAGCTGAGCTGGCTCACAAAAGACCTGATGACTTTGTCTAACCTCTTTTCCCAAGACAAACAACCTGACTACATCCCTGGAGTTTGCAGTTTAAGGCAATTCTAAGTCCTTACTGAATGTGTGTGCCTGGTTGGAGGGGGGGGGGAGTTATCAGTGGCAGATCCAGGATTGGTAAAAAAGGTATATGATAAGCTCCAAAGAACATTTTGCTCTGCATTTCCTCCACTGTTGTTTCTAGCAGTCAGTGCCGAGCCATGGATCCATTTACAAGACCATCTATACACCGCCTGTTTGTTTTGTGGCTCTACTGTGATTTTTTTTAGCAAATTACCAATAGAGCAGTTGATATGGTACAGTGGAGTCGCATCATACATGCATTTAACTTACGCAAATTCATCATATGCATATGCCCCTGAGTGCCGATTGTTTGGATTCAGCCTGCAGCTGCCCCCTGCAGCACTGTACACAGGGCCAAGCAGCTACACTGGGAGCAGCCCTGATGGGAAGCTGTGCACACTGACCAGGCAGGAGTTTAGTGAAGGCTGCCCTGGGTGGGAAGGAGGGATTTTACCATTGGATGGGGGAGGGAGCGGACTGTACCACGCAAGCCCGAGGGTAATTTTGACTATACGCGATTTTCGCCTTACGCGCTGACTTTAGAACCTAACCCCCACGTAAGACACGACTCCACTATATAAGGTTTTCAGCAGTGGTTTCTGATCCACAGAAAGCAGCAGGAAGCCATTTAATTTTTGATATTGATATAGCACAATACAGCTGTCTCTTGCATTCTGAAATCACTGCAGATACTCCATACCCTGTTCATCACTTCTGGTGCCAGATACTCTATAACCACTTCTGGTACATAAATGGGTTGAGGACATAATCAAGCTGATTTGGAAGGCCTAGTAGTGGCTCTAAAATTTCCATACAAGCAAGCAGATCTTCATGGAGCTGTGTAAGGAACTTGTCCCAGCCTTAGAGCACCAGAATGCAAATGACAGAAGCCATACTGATCCAGAAATTGATTGCTACTGCTATCAAGAAGCTAGCTACTCCAGAATGCTATAGAGAATTTGATGTTGGCAACTAAACCAATGGTACTTTAGAAATAAAGGTCTGTCAGGTGAAAAACAATACAAATTTACCCATAAATGTTAGACCTTATTAACATTCTTGAAATAAAAATCTGGTTTAAATGACCGGATCTCTAAACTGTGCTGAACATATTTGGCACATATTTGCATACTACAACAAATGTGCCTGTCATATCGCATTCTCTGCAGTTGTTCTCCAAATTATCATCAACCAAAGAGGTGGATTTGTGAATACCAATACGAGACATTTGGGTATACAATGTCAAGCTGCAGAACAGATCTGGCATGGACCTGTTGAAAGGATGCCTTATTCCCTTCACATATTATTACTCATATCAGTGATTTGTCACTGTACTGCTTTTGGGGGACCACATGTGCTATACCTTAGGAGCTGAACCCTGACATTAGAACACATAGCAGAAAGTGGTTTACTCATAGTTATTGCATGATGATGTTAGAACTAGCTGGGAGAAAAAAGGAAAACACCTCAGCTATAATTAAAGTCATCCAATTGCATATAATATCATCCATATAGATAATTTTATCTAATAAAACCTCAGGTTTATGCTGCAGTTCCCCTCATAATAACAACAAAGATGTCAGCAGCCACTTATCAGTTGCAGCTATCCTATTCTGGTACTTCTCCTCTAGTTTGATTCCTGGGCCCAGCCACAAACAGTTCCTCAGAATATGGCTCTAAAATGTCCCCAGCCCATCTAGTCTCCCAGCCTACTCTGGGCTCTGAATAGTACCATTGTTTGTACTGGGATCTGTTTGGAATTTCCATCCACCTGGCACCAAGATGACACCTGATCTTTCTATCTCTAGTCTGTTCTTTTCCAGAGGCAATGCAGGGCTATGGACTGTGTATTTGCGGCAGTGAAAAGCATTCAAACACCTCTTAGTACAAGCAGGTTACCAGACTTGCAGTTGCCAAATTTTGCCTGTCTGTCATTTTACTAACACAGAACAGGGCACAGAAGAGCCATCTGCTTGATCCTGCTTTGACCAATTGACACTATATTAACAAGACATTAATATACCAGAGCACATTTCAAGTGCCTCTTCCACTGTCATGTTCTTTGCTGTGGTGTGAATCTATAGGCCCCCTCTACACATTGCAAATATTGTTCTATTAACTGGTTAATTGCACAATTACCTAGAGACCAGCTACCCATGCAATGTAACTGTCACACAATAAAAAGCTCCAACCAGCTATAAAATTAGACATCAAAAATGTGTACTAACTTTATAGCTATCTGTTTTCAAGCTTTAATTTGCAAGCGTAGCAGGTTCTCCCATTTGGGTGGGAGCCCCGTCAAATGTCCAGTGTAAGACCCTGGGGACCAAAGCAATGGAAAAACCTTGGGGCCAGAGAATTGCTGCAGGATAATCCCCTGCCCTGGGGGTGAGGGAAAACCCTGGGGTTGGAAGATCACTACAAGGCAACACCCTCTGTCCAAGAGTTATAGGAAACCCCTGGGGCTAGAGGACTACCACAAAACAATTCCCTTCTGTGGTAGGATAATTCCCCTCCCACCCCAGAGGGAGAATCACCCCTGTAGTGATCTCCCCCACCCCAAGGAATTCCTGTACCCCTGGGTTGGGGAGATCACCATAACGGTAGTCCTCCTACCCCAAGGATGCAGCAGTATCCTCATGGCTGGGAGCCACTCCACTAGGGTGCATGGGGCACCCATCTATGGGAGATTGCATTTTGGCAATAAGGAATGATGGGATCTAATGCATGATCCCACAATTGTGACTCCTGTCATGCACGTGAACTAGAATTCAGGTACAATCTTATGGCACCAACACACTTGGAGGACAGCTTTTAGTATCATTTGGCTGAAATGAATTTCATACTGCAGAAATGGATCAGACCTCATAGAAGTAAGGGTTAAATGCCAATCAAACACATACAAATTCACAAGCAGGTTCTGATACCTAGAAGCATATGGGAAACAAGTAGCTAGAATGGTCAGAAAATACAGGTCCCAGGAAGTATAGGAAAATATTAGAGGGCCTTCAAAACACCATCCCTGGTACCCAGACTTTAGTTTTATCCACTTTGAAAATGTGACGGTAACTCTAATCCACTTCCATAGCCACATAAATAAACCCTGTTCTAGACGTGTTTGAACCTCACGGAAGTGGTTTTGTGTTAAGTCAGTAAGTGGGTTTAGGCTAACACATGGGTAAAGGCCTGGAATAAACCTAAAGTGTAGCCCTATTTTTTAAATAAAATGGGCTAAATGCCCTGAACAATGTGGATCTTCTGAAAATTTCACAGCCAAAATTGGCCAATAGTACAAGCCACTGCCTTTTACAGCTTGTAAACAAGGTTTAGATCCTATTTTAAGTCTTGTTTCTTGGTTGTGGGGTTTTTTCCTGTTATAAAAAACCTGAAAATCAAAACCTTACCAAAACAAAATATTCACCGTGTAATGTCTTCATTTCTCTTCCTGAGAGAAGGAACCACATGTGACAGATGCAAGTCATATTACTTAATGCAGTACTAAAGTGCTCAAATACTAAATGTGATAAGAGTGAAGACCTAGAAAACCTGAACTGAATGGAATGTCTTCATTTCTCAAGTCTGCTCTTCTTTTAGCCAACTGTACTTCAGCAGCCAGGTTCTATGCACTAGATTTATCCATCTCTACTTTTTTCTTAGTTCTACTTATTTCCTTTAGAAATGTTAAATAATTCTTATAGTTATACTATCAGTCTCAGACTTCTGCATATGTCAGGCTGCTCAAAGCTAACTACAATAGTTCATACAACTTCATTATGCAGACAGAGATATCTGGTCATAGTTAAGGTTGTGACCAGTAGTCAGTTGAAAGCATTGTTTTGACTCTTTGATCTTCACCAGAGTTAAACCAAATTGCCTGGAATTTCCCTATTATTTTTTACAGTCAGGAAAAAGTTTTGTGAGTTTCTAACAAAGGATTTATAACTGTTCAGTTATTAAAATAAAGAATATAGTGCTTAGCTGTACACAGCACTTTTCATCCCAGAATATTTACAGAATCAGTTGCCATTATTCGGGCTATATTACAGACAGAAAACTGTCTCAGAAAAGTGTAATGGTTTGCCTGCAAGGTTTTTTGAATAGATGTGATATGTTTTATTAAACCAACTAAGTAGCTGGAAAAAAGTTCTTGGCAAGCTTTCGGTCACAGTCACACTTCTTGAGGCACAGGGAGTCTCTGCTGGTCTGAGACTCCAATAAAATGGTTTGCCTGACATTACTTAGCAAGTCTGTGGCAGAACTTGCAACAGAATAAAGATATTCTGGCCATCAGCTGACACCATTTCAAAAGTTTTGTGGCCTTTATTTGCCACCTTAGGATTTTCGACTGTATTTTACTCAGTGGCCTTTGAGGACTAATGTTTCAGGGACAAGGAGGGGGTTCATTGTTTGGTTTGGGTTTGCTTGCTTGCTTCTAATGTGGTGAGGGATATTTAAAAATAAAAAATCTTTATTCAAACCTACGAGAAATCTTTAGAATTGATGAACTCCACAAACTGCACAGAACCTAGGTTGTACTATGTCACTGGAGCACAACTGCAGATTTAAAGAATATGAGATACCTATACTTTGACTTGGAAAACTTAAATTCCTTAGAAGAACCAGGCTGGAATATGTATTATTACATGGTAGAAATTAGTGCATAGCTGAGGTCTCTAAGGACCTCAAAAAATAAAAAGGAAAAAAGGAAGAACTATGTCAATTTGTGAATCAAAACTACAAGAAGAACTGAAAGTTGTGAATCACTTACCACAGAGTTGTACAAATGGATTTTAAAAAGCATCATAGGTACTTGTGCATAATATAACAAATGCAAAGAATGCTGTAGTGGAAGACATAGTTTTTTTACCTATTTATTTACCTGGATCCAATTATTTTATCTCAAACCCATTGTAATAAAAACAAACAAAAAAAAGCAAACAAAAAAACCCCACCAAGTTTGCTTTACAACTTTTTTTTTTAACAATGTTGCCGTGTTTAATGTGTCCTGTTATTTCACAGAGTATTCTCAAGATTCTTTTCAGTTTTAAATAATTGTTATGGATTGTGAAGATTTATTGAACAAAAAAATCTCCAGGGCCAGGAAAGAGCCTTTGGCGCTATCAAAAAGGAAGTGGTGCAATAGCTAGCTCACATGAAAAGCAGATTTTGTTTTGGAAAAGTTTCCTTTCAAACTAAGGTAGTTACAAAATAGCTAAATGGGAGTAAAATTGTACATTCCAAATATCTTATTATCCATTCCATAAAAAAAAGAAAATGTTCTCCCCATATGGCCTTAAATCTTTACCCATGCTGTTAACATTAAAAAATCATGTTAGGCTGATGAGCATGATACCAGTTAACCACATCAGAATTGAGATCCTTGTCAGGTAAGGATTAGAAATCCCAATTTTATCTGAAAAATTTATTTCTTGATCAGTTTATACATTAAGGGAAGCACTTTTTGTTAGGTGAAATTGCAGGCTGCTGTGCTAGAATCAATTGTGGTAAAATACTCCTGTAAAGGACAGAGATCAACATCTTTTTCTGTGTGTTAATAGAGCAACTGTAGAGGAAGAACAATTTCCTCAGACAGACTGATGAATTTATGCCTTTTTCACAGTCTTCTTCTAGTCACAAGTCAGGCAATTAAGCTTTAGCTTGGGTGCAGATGAGATGAATATTATGAGATCTCTTGGCCAAATTCATTTTAATATCTGTTCTGTGAGTTTTGAAAATTGTGAAAATTAATATTGCTTAATTCTGTGCAAAAATCAAGGCATTTCAAATGCTCAAGCCAAGCTCTAATCAAAACTAGAGAGGTTTCAGTATTCCTCTTTATAATTAAACACTTTAAAGCACATGAACCCATGACAATAAACATATGCTTAGCTAGTCCCCAATTAACAAAAATGTAGGATGGAAAGTTTTTTTGTTATTTTTGGACTTTAACTACTTTATTCAGGGGTCTGGGGTACAAAATTTGGCCCCTTCAGGGTCCAGGTCCAACATACAAAGCAAAGACAAGCAAATTACCACCAAACTAAGAGCACCATGTCATTACATTCATAACATCACACCATGACATATACCTCTGCTGTATTACACTTCATGCCTAACATGCCATTATGCACTCAGGACACTGGCCACATGGTCATATAGACCAAAGCTCTCTATAAACAAATGATTCCTACCCTACTGTATCAAATCCATACATGTGAGAACACCTTCAACTTCCCACACAAAGAAAAAAGAAGAAAGCAGCCTGGTGAGGGCCCAGAACGTGGCACGAGTTGGGAGTCACAGTCTGACACCAAGCCTGCCTGGTCACCCAGACTGGTCATGACATCAGAGCATGTATTAAAGACAGCCGTCCTCCACATGGCATAGCACTCCCTCAAGTGCCCAGCATGCCTCAAAGGTGGGCAGCGCCCAATGGAGCGCAGTGTGCTCAAACTCCTGTGAGAGGCATGCCCACACCAGGAAGCCAAAAAGATGACTACTGACTGGAGCCAGTCCCAACAACTCAGTTGCAGCAGCTCTTAAGGATAGCCACCTTGGCCTGACCCAGTAGAAAGTTGGCCAGGCAGATGGCACCCCATTCGACCACACAGTATGGGTAGGAGCACACATAGGTGGTCTCTGAGAGGCTCCTGTCCAGTGCCCGCAGTGGCAGCTCAAAGGCAACAAAGAGCAGCCACAGGTGGGGACAGTCCAGGAAGTCATGAAAGAGGTTCTCCTCAATGGTACTGGGGCAGAAGGGGTAGCCCGTGAAGGCAGCTGGGTCAAAGTAGGACGCAAATGTGCCAGTGGCTAGGATGCCATGCAGCAATCACCACTGCAGGTAGTTCTTGGTGGTTGGGAGCTTATACACTGTGCGCCAAGCCAGGTGGGCCAATGGGGAATCTGGCGGCCCCAGGCGCTGTCACCAGGGTGATGCAGGCATTGTGGACATAAAACACCCAGGCATATAGGCTTCTATATGACAGGAAAGCAAAGGGAAACTGGTGTCAATGTCAGGAGACACAGGGAGTGTTAGCAGGGTGCCAGTCCCACCAGACAGCTCACTGGTCACAGCCAAAGTGACTGGGATCATGGGAAAGGCCTCACTTCAGGCATCTGCAGCATGGGGGACCTGGTGTGCCCAGAGATGGTTATCTAGGGTGGCTGCTGCCTCCGGTGTGAGGGCAGCCTGGATGTCACACAGGAGATGGCCTATGCGGCAGACAGAGTGCATGTGTAGCCAGATGGTCAGGGCCTCAGGTGAGAGCCAGGCTGACTGAGCAGGGTCAAGGAGATGCCTCAGGTGGAGCACACACACCTGGATGAGAGTGGCTGTAAGGCTGGCAGAGGCCAGGCTTGGCATGGAGCATCTCAGTGCTGGGTTGTGCACCAGGGGCTTGTTCAGCAGATGCGGGAACTGCAGGTGCTGGGCCCAGGGCTGAAGATGGAAGGTGGCCTGCCAGGCTTGTACCATGCCATGGCAGAAAGCCAGAAGCACCACCCAGTTCAGGAGTGTGAGGTCCAGCAGGAAGAGCTCCTGGTCAAAGCCGAGGGCCCCCACCCTCTGCAGGAACCAGCATACCAGGCATTGCCAAGATAGGTGCTTCTCACTGTAGAGGAGTCACTGAAGGACTTGCAAGTGCAAGGTGGATGCCTTATTCACCAAGTTGACCAGGCCCTGGCCGTCCTCGGTGATAGGTAGGTAAAGAACAGCTTGTGAGAACCAGTGGCACCCATCCCAGAAAAAAAAATTTAGAAGAAACTGAAGCCCCTTGAGTAAGTCTTGTGGTGGGTCAGGAACGGTGCACCAGTGCCACAGGATTACCACCAGCAGGTTCTTTGCAATGAGGACACATCCATGGTAGGAGAGGCTGGGTAGGCATGTGAGAGAGAGAAGGAGCCACCGGACTCCAAAGCACATGGACTAAACAAAGGCCCAGCGGCCTCAGGTCCACAGCCCCAAGGAGCCTGGCAGAAATCTCCCTTACCCAGGTGTTTTGGGAGGG